AGTCACCATAGGAACTGACCCAGCTGGGAAGGCTGTAGATTGGTAAATATTAACTTCATGACACAACGTTGTCGCAACGTTAGTATAACGTCATTACAACGTTATTTGACAACGTCACAACAACGATCCCATTTCGCCTACAGTCTTAAAACAACAATTCATGGCCTGGTGACTGTTATTTCATGCATGAGCAATACGTTTACCCCCTTCAGATATAAATGGAATCCCCGTAGTTTTCCATTAATTTGACAAGTAGCACATGTAGACAACATGGCTTTTTGCATTAAAATAAAAAAAAATTGTTCTTCTTTCATATTTTTTATTCACAGCAAATCATAGTACAATATAATACAATAATGAAAATAACACTGGCTGTTAACTAGTACACTGTACTTGAGTTCATGGAACCAGGAACTGAATAGGTGATCTTCTTCCGGTGGAGACGCTGGTCAAGATCTCTGTAAGCTCGTGAGCGTGGCCGAGTTGTTGCACCATGGTCAATCTGAAGGCGAGTGATCTTGTTGGTGGATTCAGTGTTCTTGATAGCCGGTTTGTATTCAGGAATGTTCGGATGGTGTTTTCCCACAAGATTTGTTCAGACCACTATGGTGCTGCATCTTCCTTTACATCCCTGGATCACACACTTCCAGCGTGTAGCTAGCTGACGCTCCACATCCAGGCGGTATATGTGACCTGCTTGTAACACTTGTCTTCCTCCCCTCTATATGTGACCTGACAAAATCTGCTTGTTGAAGATTAGCCATTTTCGATGACTTTCTGGCCTTTTGACTTTCCCATTTTATACATGAGTATGACATCATCCTACCTCATTTTTTAACAAAGTAATGAGTAACTTTGATCTTTTAATCTTATATTAAATTAGCTAATTAAAACTATGTACACAAACTGTTGTAAGTATGTCACTGCTACTTTTGATCTTCATAGCCGCGATACTTAAAGCCAATTGCTTATATAAACACTGGTTATAAGTTGACTCCATTTAAAGACAACATGATATACTTATCTTTTTACTCATACATTGTGAAACTGACATTCCTTAATTCCACTAAGTCAAGTCCATTTTCTCAATAGGGGTGCATTTTCTATTCCCTATTCGCCTATATGTTTATTGTATGCGAAATGGGATGTAGGCGAAATGGGACTCAACCTCAGGCCTTGACGAGTCAACGCTTTAACCACTAGGCTACCCCACCGCCCACGACTCACAGTTAGCAAAGTGAGCGTCACCTGTAACTCCACGATAATGACGCGGTGGTGCGGTTTTAATCAGAGCGTGGTGGTTGTGATTTGATTACCGATGACTGACCATCCAGAATCGAGGAATTTCGAGTTTTAACATGGAATGATGACTCAAAAATATCGTCTTTCTATTTACAAGCTGACAACAAGTAGTAAGAATCATGTTGGAAGACAAACATTAAATCAAACCAGTTTTTACCTCCAGCCACTTAGGTGTGACCGTTTATTGATTCTTGTTGTGGTGATACGGAAGCTCCCTGGGGTGGGACTTGTATTAGCGAGACCATACGCGGTAGATTGACTTCTCTTTCTGTGAAGACTTGTTAAATATTTGGGCTAATTGATTTCAATTTTCCTTCACAGTTAGAGGGCGGTAGGGTAGCCTAAAGGTCAGAGCGTCCGCTCGTCAAGTTGAGGACCCGAGTTCGATTCCCCACATGGGTATAATGGTTGTGTGAAGCCCATTTCTGGTGTCCCCCGGCGTGACATTGCTGGAATATTGCTAAAGGCGGCGTAAAATCATACTTACTCACTCACTTCACAGCTTGCATCGTTAGTAAGAAAACTGCGTGAAGATGACGTGAAGATGATATATAAACTCTGTCAAAAAAGAAACGCAACCCCTGTATTTTAGAGATTTTGATCTGAAGTTTTAAGACGACACAGCATTTTTATTATTTAAGACAGAAGTCTGAAATTTGGCAGAATAATAACCAAGATGGGCATGTTTAAAATTGTCATTTCAAAAGTCATCTCACAGACACCAGTTTGTCACCAGGGGGGCGTCTTTCTCAGTATCTCGTATGAGCACCACGAGCTGCAATCACTGCACGGCATCTCCTTGGACAAGAACGGATAAGACGCCGGATTCTTTCCTGGGGAATGGCTCTCCACTCCTCCTGCAGTGCAACGCCGAGCTGTTGCAGCGTCTGTGGCGGCGGCTGACGTTGACGTACGCGTCGACCCAGAGTATCCCACAGGTGTTCAATAGGGTTGAGGTCTGGTGATTTAGAGGGCTATGGCAAGACATTGACGTTGGAATTCTGCAGAAAGTTCATTGTTGCACGTGCAGTATGAGGCCGGGCGTTGTCTGGTTGAAAAATCTGTGTCTGTTGGTCAATAATCGGGAGAAGGTGAGGCTGTAATACGTGGTTGATGTAACGTTGGGCTGTCAGGTTCCCTTCAACGATCACCAAGTCTGATTTCTGGTTGTATGAGATTGATCCCCAAACTATAACGCTTTCTCCGCCAAATCTGTCCCCCTGTCGGACGCAGATGGGCGCAAAACGTTCATGACGTCTCCTATACACACGTTTTCTTCCGTCGTGACGTTGCAAAGAAAACGGGATTCATCAGAAAACCAGATGCGCCTCCAGTTTTGTAAAGTCCATATCCTTACGTTGTTGCACCACCTGAGTCGTCGGCGGAGATGTAGGGGCGTAGTACAGGTCCAACAACTGGTCTACAGGCACGTAAACCCGCTTCTTTCAGACGGTTCCTAATCGTTTGAGCTGACACTCTCCTCAAACCTGGTATTTGTGTGGCAGTCACGGTTGGTAGGGCATGCCGATTACGCAGGTGATGGACCCGGATGTACCGATCTTGAAGGGGTCGTGATTCTTGGCCTTCCACTTCTCGGGCGATCGTTGGTCAAATTGAAGTTGTTGTAGCGGCTCCAAAGTCGGGATATCGTTGTTTTGTGAACATTTAGGTGCCGTGCAACAGTTCAAAACTTTCTCCGGCGAACACGACCAATGGCGATATTTCGGTCGGCAGCACTCAATCGTGGCATTTTTAACACAGCTTTTCGGCGACAAATGAATGAATATAATACGAAAGCACATGGGCTTTTATACACCCCTACATTAACTGCCATTTTCATGATTTGCATGTGTTTTTTTTTTTGTGCGAAGTCACCATGAGGGTCATTTCATGCGTTGTGACGGAATAAGCAATAAAATACACTTATGCGTACAAATGCAGTTGTTTGGATGGTAATCTTCATTAATTACGTGTATAATTTCAATACATTCGAATAAAATTTAGTTTGGAAGCAATAACTTCATTCAAACGAATTTTTCATATCTGAGGACAGGGGTTGCGTTTCTTTTTTGACAGAGTTTAGATGCCCCATTTCAGTCTGTGTGTAGACGCAGTGAAAGGAGTGAGAGAGTATAGTTTTACGCCGCACAGTGCTGCTGCTGCAGATGCCATACATGTTCTACTTTGGTCAAAACCACGAGCTCAGGTATGGATGAGACGAACCAAAAAAAACATGATCATTCGGGATTCGAACTCACTATCGTATTTTCAACACATCGAGTGACGGCACCTCACCCCAGAAGTACGGAAGTAATTGAAGAGACACGGCGTTTGACCACTTAGCTGCGTCCGTATTTGACTTTATTTCAAAATTGTCTTTATGCTCAAGGATTACAGTATATTAAAGATAAATAAAATATATTGTTTTAATCTAAGGGGCATAACTCTATTTACCCTGCGCCAACTGCGCGCCAGAGCATGACTACATGCACATTGATCGCTGTAACTTCCTTGTCGAGATGACGACGTTGTTTATGACATGCACGGACGGAAGTACCATACTGTAAGTACTAGGTATCTGTCTTAGAGTATTAATCTGTTTCTTATACCCTGTAGATTATTCAAACCCCCGGGAAGGAGACGGACGGGGCGACAGTTGTATGTCAAACCCCCGGGAAGGAGACGACAGGGGCGACAGTGATACTAGTATGTCAAACTTAGCCGGGTCAATGTAACTTTACTGGACTGTCGAACTTGTCACTGTGGGGAATCCCCTCAAAATGAGAAACCGAAAGAATGTGGTGTTATGTCCTAGGTGTTATATACTAGTATGTCGGAGTGTTATTTCCTAGGTGTTATGCCCGAGGTGTTTCGTCCTAGGTGTTATGCCCGAGGTGTTTCGTCCTAGGTGTTATGCCCGAGGTGTTTCGTCCTAGGTGTTATGCCCGAATAGTTTCGTCCTAGGTGTTATGCCCGAGGTGTTATGTCCTAGGTGTTATGTCCGAAGAGTTTCGTCCTAGGTGTTATGCCCGAGGTGTTTCGTCCTAGGTGTTATGCCCGAAGAGTTTCGTCCTAGGTGTTATGCCCGAAGAGTTTCGTCCTACGTGTTATGCCCGAGGTGTTTCGTCCTAGGTGTTATGCCCGAAGAGTTTCGTCCTGGGTGTTATGCCCGAATAGTTTCGTCCTAGGTGTTATGCCCGAGGTGTTATGTCTTAGGTGTTATGTCGGAGGTGTATATCCTAGGTGTTATGCCGGTTCTATTATGCCCTAGATGTTATGTCGGGGGTGTTATATGTTTTAGGTGTTATGTCTTAGGTGTTCTGTCGGAGGTGTTATGTCGGGGGTGTTATGTCGGAGGTGTTATGCCGGAGGTGTTATGTCGGGGGTGTTATGTCGGAGGTGTTATATGTCGATGTGATCCAGGGCATAACTAAGTGGAAGATGGAATATTGAGTCTGGAGAGTGAGTGAGTGAGCTGGCTTTTACCCCTCTGTTAACAATATTCCAGCAATATCACGCGAGGTACACCGGAAATGGACTTCACACATTGTACCCATGTGGACAGTAAGAGAGAACCTCGTCTGTGAAGGTTACTACCGGGGCCACGTAGATCTGGACGATACGCGTCATCGTATCCCATCTTGTAGCTGATTCTACACAGTTTGTTCAAGACATGTTTTCTTCTTGCTTCTTTTCAGAAGGGACGACGGGGCTCTAGTTCAGTAGGGCAGTGTTGCTCCAAGTTCTAGTTCAATGGGGCAGTGTTGTTCCAAGGTCCATATTGACAGGCTCAACGTGGCCGGATACGTCCATGGCGGAGTGGGCCACGACAACACCGCCGACACCATCACCGGCGGAATAGCAAACGAGGGGACAGCTGAACATCCAGACAATGGTAGTGTTACAGTGAAGATAGGATGTGATGACCAGGGAATCACAGATAGTATACCACGTGTTTCTACTGACAATAGAAATAAAGGAAACATACCACGTGATTCTACTAACATGGGAAACACACCACATGATTCTACTGAGATGGGAAACATACCACGTGACTCTACTGACATGGGAAACACACCATGTGACTCTACTGACATGGGAAACGAAAGCACGAGACATACATCAGGTGACCGGGAACATCAGGAGTCCGCTAAGGACATTAGACACCCGAACGCCCAAACGCCAAAAGACAGCTGGACCCTAAACTCAACCATGCAAGCTCCCGTGGGGGGAGAGGGAGTGTCATTCCATGATATAGACATGCTCAACCTCGAGGTGGTACGTGTGGCTGGTGATGACAAGAGAGTGCATTGTCTCCCCTTGGCGGATATAGTTGACATCAACATGAGTGACCAGATCGGCAAAACGCCGCTTATTGTTGCAGCATGGAAGGGTCGCCAGGATGTCTTTGGCTTCCTGGTTGGGAGAGGAGCTGATGAGTCGGTCACAGACGCCTATTCCAACAACATCCTTCACTGGGCGTGTCACGGAGGTGATGTGGGGATGGTGCAGTTTATCGTCTCTGAACGTCTTGTTGATATAGACAGTAGGGGGAAGGACAGGTACACGCCCGTCATGATGGCGGCAGAACGCAGACACAAGGATGTGGTCACCTTGCTGGTGCAGGCAGGATGTAACATGTCGCATGTGACCAATGGCGGGAACAATATCCTGCATGTTACCTGCGCTTGTGGGGATATAACCACTGTTAAATATATCCTATCCAAGAATAGTGTCAACATCAACAGCAGCGGGATGAACGAGAGGACAGCGGCGATGATTGCCGCCTTGAGGGGGCATAGAGCTGTGTTTGAACTTCTTGTAAGCGAAGGTTGCGACTTGTCGCCTGTAACCCACAACAACAACAACATCCTTCACGAGGCGTGTGTAGGTGGAGACGTGGGTATTGTCAACTACATCGTCTCCACAGATATTGTTGATATCAACAGTAGAGGTAAGTATGACAGGACGCCAGTGATGGTTGCCGCCGAGTTTGGACATATTGACGTCCTGGAGCTGCTGGTGAGGGAAGGAGGTGACGTGAATCTCCGGTCTGATGCAGGCAATACCATCCTCCATGCAGCGTGTCTTGGAGGGTACGTCAAGGTGGTGTCACACGTCCTCACGACGACACACGTCGATATCAACGCCCAGGGTATTCAGGGGCGGACCCCTTTGATGTTAGCGGCATGGAAGGGGCACCAAGATGTGTTTGAACTCCTTGTGAGTGCGGGAAGTGACGTGTCTCTCGTGGACGATGGCGGTAACAATATTCTTCATGTGGCTTGTCGTGGAGGACATGTTGAGATGGTGACGTATCTCCTGTCGAAAAAACTTGCTGACAGTGACGCGACCGACAAACAAGGGTCTACAGCCATTATGATAGCGAAAGAGAAAAAACACAAAGCTGTTGTGGATGTCCTTTCGTCCAAGGTCAAACTGCCAAGTGATTAGACAGTGCTAGGAGTGACGTACATGTAATACATTATTCTTTCATGAGGTAAGGCACCCATGAAGGTCCGGGTAAGAAGTGGTTCTCAGCAACCCAAGTTTGTAAGGGGCAACTAACGGGATCGGATGATCAGGCTCGTATCCCAATTACGTAGATCGATGCCCATGCTGTTGATCACTGGATTGTCTGGTCCAGGCGAGATTATTTACAGGCCGCCGGTATAAACGGGCTCTTGTTGAGTGCGGCGTTAAACAAAACAAACAAATCATATTGTGAAGACAGCCATTGCTTTTGTTAAAAAGCATCCTTAAGTAAGTGGAACAAATACGGCATTTAAAATGTTGCTTACCGTCGTGACACCTTTAATCTTCTATTGATGCTTATCCTCGTGACACCTTTAATCCTTCATTGATGCTTACCGTCGTGACACCTTTAATCTTGTTCAGTCAGTCCAGAGGGTGTGTCATGGAGTAAGTGAGTGACTTATTTGAACGCTGCTGTGAGGAGTATATATAGGTTACATCACGACGTGTCTGCTTGATGTGGGAGGGAAACCCGAAGTTATTCGCTCTAGCGAAACCCAGAATCATGGTTCTGACAAACCAGGGTTGAACTGACGCTAGGATTTGAACCCACTACCCTCAGGAATAGCGGCAACGCGGACGACACTCCCTCCAATGTGGAAAGTGCGTGAACGGCATTTTAGTCTGTGTATTAGGCCTACCTGACTTGTTTATACCCGTACCTTGTGTATTGCACACAGTCTAATTACAAATAGTCACTATGTATGTGTATAGTTGTCTAGTGAATAAATGTCGATATAGATGCTAGTATAAAGTTTAACATGTGTTTATCACTTTATCAAATATTTTACTGACCTACAAAACACATGGGCTGAGCTGCGTGAGTTGTGTATCCACGATAGGTTACAGTATGGGCTGAGCTGCGTGAGTTGTGTATCCATGATAGGTTACAGTATGGGCTGATCTGCGTGAGTTGTGTATCCATGATAGGTTAAAGTATGGGCTGAGCTACGTGAGTTGTGTATCCATGATAGGTTACAGTATGGGCTGATCTGCGTGAGTTGTGTATCCATGATAGGTTACAGTATGGGCTGATCTGCGTGAGTTGTGTATTCATGATAGGTTACAGTATGGGCTGAGCTGCGTGAGTTGTGTATCCACGATAGGTTACAGTATGTGCTGAGCTGCGTGAGTTGTGTATCCACGATAGGTTACAGTATGTGCTGAGCTGCGTGAGTTGTGTATCCACGATAGGTTACAGTATGTGCTGATCTGCGTGAGTTGTGTATCCATGATAGGTTACACTATGGGCTGATCTGCATGAGTTGTGTATCCATGATAGGTTACAGTATGGGCTGAGCTGCGTGAGTTGTGTATCCACGATAGGTTACAGTATGGGCTGAGCTGCGTGAGTTGTGTATCCACGATAGGTTACAGTATGGGCTGAGCTGCGCGAGTTGTGTATCCACGATAGGTTACAGTATGGGCTGAGCTGCGCGAGTTGTGTATCCACGATAGGTTACAGTATGGGCTGAGCTGCGCGAGTTGTGTATCCACGATAGGTTACAGTATGTGCTGAGCTGCGTGAGTTGTGTATCCACGATAGGTTACACTATGGGCTGATCTGCGTGAGTTGTGTATCCATGATAGGTTACACTATGGGCTGATCTGCATGAGTTGTGTATCCATGATAGGTTACAGTATGGGCTGAGCTGCGTGAGTTGTGTATCCATGATAGGTTACAGTATGGGCTGAGCTGCGTGAGTTGTGTATCCATGATAGGTTACAGTATGGGCTGAGCTGCGTGAGTTGTGTATCCACGATAGGTTACAGTATGGGCTGAGCTGCGCGAGTTGTGTATCCACGATAGGTTACAGTATGGGCTGAGCTGCGCGAGTTGTGTATCCACGATAGGTTACAGTATGGGCTGAGCTGCGCGAGTTGTGTATCCACGATAGGTTACAGTATGTGTGTTGCTGGAGAAGGGGAGTTCACTAACATTGCCGTTGCGTTGTCACTTAACTGGGGAACTGGAGGTAGCAAGCTCGTCTCTGTATGGCTCAACAATGTGCAGGAAACGTTAACGAGCTCATACTTTTGGCCTCTGCATGAACGTTTCTACAAAATGAAGTAAAGCGTTGTAATTAAACTGAATGCGTGACGGCGCCTACAGAACCAGCAGGTAATTATCTTGGATTCCAGGCTATATAAGTGCCCTTGGCTGGCAAATTGAGGATTTTACATCTATTTCTTAATTGGGATTCTCAGTGAGATACCAGTCACGTGACCACAACATTGGTTGTGTTGTCGGTGAGATACCAGTCACGTGACCACAACATTGGTTGTGTTGTCAGTGAGATACCAGTCACATGACCACAACATTGGTTATCATTGATTGTACATTGAACAACATACGTGATCATACCTCGATCGTACTTCCCGAGCATAACAGACAGTACGTGGGATTCGAACCCACGAACAGCAGGTCCTGCCAGCACAACGATAACACCACCTCACCTGTGTGGATCGATGATATCAATCACTTGATTGTCTGGTCAAGAATCGATTATTTACAAACATCTGCCTTATCGAATTTTATTACTGAGTGCCGAGTTACTAAAATACAACAACAACAATTTCCCCTGAAAATGCCATGGATTCATGTATCCCAACTATGATGCTATTTTGTTATCATTTAAACCCGTGAAGATCCCTGTTAGAAATGATCTTCCGTAACCCATGCTTGTCGTAAGAGGCGACTAACGGGATCGGGTGGTCAGGCTCACTGACTTGGTTGACACATGACATCGTATCCCAATTGCGTAAATCGATGCGCTTGGTGTTGATCACTGGATTGTCTGGTCCAGACTCGATTATTTGCAGACCGCCGCAATACATAACTGGAATATTGCTGGGCCCGGCGTAAAACTAAACTCACTCACTGTTATCCTTTAATAAAGTCACCTGCCAAAGACGTCATCGTAACATTTGAATATTGCTGAGTGAGGTATTTAGCAGATGCACTGTACATAACGAGACGTACGTTTCTCGCCCGTTATAGGATAGATTCTCTTAGTTAATTGTTTATGCTTGAGAGGACTTATGTTTTTCAGGTCGGGTTAAGACATCCTGAGTGTTTAGTTTCCACTGCATATAAACACTGTATATTATATTATGTGGCAGTCTGCCATACATACCCTTGAACAAATATATCCAAGAAAGCCTATGCAAGTCTTGAATATGTGGCAAGTCTAGATTTCCAGTTTCAGGAATTGAAGAAAGTCTCTGGGCTCCTTTTTATTATATTTATCATTATAATTTAGGAACTGTTTTTTTTCTGTAAAATATGTTTATTTTAGAGACTAAATGTTAGTCTAATTATGGGACTAAAGAAAGTGATAGTCTTTGTTTTCAGAGGGATCTCACTGGTCCGCTATGACAAGCAGTTTAAATTTGCAATTGAGTGCAGGGTTTCGTTTTTATCCGGTTCAGTAATATTACAAAATCAAAATAGATATAATACCAATGACTACGTATAAACAAGAGAGGTTGGGCACAATCCTGCGGATAGGTTTCTCTCGCAGCAGGGCTGACGGGCACGATCAGTGTTTGCTCATTTAAAGTCTGTCACGAATAAAAGAGGTCGTGTAAACTCGTTTGTCACTCGGATTGCATCGGCAAGTGAAGTTTTAGCATAAGGCATTCGTCCGAATCAGATTTGCGGAATTACATTTATTGACTTCAAATTCCTACTACGGGTAAACACCCGCATAATATCTTTAATACTAAGATTCTTGTAGATGTGTCCCCTGCTTGAGTTATGTTATCGAAAACAGAGAGCATTCTGCATCGTTCGGGTTATCCGATTGCGCAGACAACTTCCGGAAACTTGTTACCAGTTGCCATTCAGCCTAGATTATGGGCTGAGGTGAACTAAACTTCGACGTCGAAGAAAGGAGGTGTCCAGAAGACGATAGACGTGAATGTACGTGACTGCCTGTGGTGTGGTGGGTGTATATGGGCAATCTATGACCAGTATTTTATTTGGTTTCGATGACCCAAGGTCGCAAATAACCCTGTCCGGACGTGTTTAACATTTCGTCTGTGTTGAAAGATATGTTCGGTTTTCGATCAAACGCCAACGAAGGCGTAGCAGGGTTGGGTTCTAACCCATCAGTACGATGCTATTGGCCACATATGGACACTTATGTGGCATTTTATTACATTTGTGACATTTATTCGAATGTCGGTTCAATGTGAATATTTTATCCTTGAATCACCAAATGAGGTAAAATGTACAACTGATATAATTTTTCACTGGTCTGTAAATTTTGACTGCATGTGATTTCTTACCAATCTAAATATTTAACATAGTGACAAGTCAGAATTCAGCAGCAGCTATTTCATGGGTATGACCATGGTTGGTTTGCAGTGGAAACTGAACTAAAATTCGTGAAATGAAATTATCCGGTGGGCTGCAGCCAACTAAAGCGAAATGCTCTTGTATTGAACTAAATGTGAAATCCCTTTATAATGTAATGATAAATGTGACACCATGCTATGAAACAATGAATTTGAAAGTTAAAGTGGAGCTGCTGTTTACCATGTTTATTTAGCACATGTACAATGTCAGTAGGTAACTCCCTCAACTGTTATTGCTATTCTCTCTGGGCTCTTATAGCTCAATGTGTGTCAGTTGAAGAAAGGTTTCCATTTACAACCAGTGTAATGAGAGCCTGAAACAGTACTCACCGCAGTGTGTGTTGATAATGTGCTGTTGACTCCCACCTAGAAGTGAATCACATGCATCACGATAGCTTTATGCCTCCCATGAAGCTGTCTAGGAACATGTCCACAGACTCTTCAGAACAAGGTACAGTCTCTCTGGGTTCAAATGAGAACGATGCTTGATTAAATAACTCGAAATAGAGGTAAGTGCACAAAACATAAATATAATACGTGGTCCTGAAACCTCTGTACCCAACAGGATCTGAAATCTGACGCTTTATGATCAATCACAGAGAAAATTGTTTACGAAACTGTCATGTAACATTGTTCTATTTTCACTCTTCACACCAAGTGGTGACATGGTAGATGGAACAGCGCCGTCCGTCTCCTGACTATTAGGGCTCTGTGCTGTTGTACGTGGCTGTTCCACCAGCTGTTTGTCACCACTTGGTGTGAAGAAGGAAAATAAAACAATGTTCCATGATAGTTATGAAACAACTATTTCCTTGATCGATCATAAAGCGTCAGATTTCAGATCCTGTTGGGTACAGAGGTTTCAGGACCATGTGTCTTATTTATATTTATGCACTTATCCGTCTTTCTAGTTATTTAATCATTCATCGTTCTCACTTGAACCCAAACAGACTGTAGCATTACTTAGAAAGTGTCAGTGACCTAGTCATGATGTATACATTTTGTCTGTGTTCACAATACGCATAAATATCAACTGTGTACATAAATGGTTTGAAATTGATGGTGAGTAGAATAAGGAAATAGTTTGGGGGATTACTTATGAGTTTTTAAGATTGACCATTAAAATTAAATGAAGATAGCCTGCAGAATGTTCTTTTTTCAGTTCAGTATACTTGTGTTTTTAATATTTGGGATTTGTTGGTTATTGCAGGTGTTTTTCACCTACTTTTCACTGGTGAATTTCACCTGTGTATTTTGCCTGTGTGTTTTACCTGTATGTTTCACCTGTGCTTCCTCTTTGCAGCTGATGAGAGGTGAAGATGGATCACAGCGCCGCCAGTATCCCGGAGTCCGTCATCTCCCAGACCAGTGAGGTGTGCTCCAGTGTGGGGGAAGATCGCTTTGTCGATCAGGATCGAGCACCAAGTCTCTTGATAGGCTTCTCCAAACTCTACAAGAACAAGGAGTTTGTAGATGTGATTCTGTGTGTGGGGACGCAGGAGTTTCCGTGCCACAAGAATGTCCTCGCTGTCTCCAGCCCTTTCTTCATGGCCATGTTCTCCAACAACATGGCCGAAAGCCACCAAGAGAAGATAACTCTGAAGGACATGGAGTGCCAGACACTAGCCCTCGTATTGGACTATATCTACACTGGACAGGTTGTGTTGACAGAGGAATCGGTTCAGAATCTACTCTCGGCATCCAATCTGTTTCAGTTGATATCTTTACGTGATGGGTGTGCGGAGTTCATGATGAATCACGTGACAGTTACAAACTGTATCGGGGTGTATTTTTTTTTGCCAAATGTCACGAATGTGGTGTCCTTGCAATGAAAGCCAAAGAAATAATTAATAATAAATTTTCCACTCTGTGCAAACAACAAGAGTTTCTGTCTCTACCCGCGGACAAACTTGTGGAAATCATCAGTGACGATGACATTAACGTGACAACGGAGGAGACGGTGTACGAGGCGTGTATGGAGTGGTTACAGCACGACACAGACAGTCGGCTGATACACTTAGTCGACATCATGACTTGTGTTCGATTTGCAAACATCAGCTCGTACTACTTCTGTGATCGAATTGACACATGTTCGTTGCTGTTGGAGAGAGAGGAGCTTCGCAAGACGTTGGACATGATTAGGTATTATCACATGTTGAAAAATCGGCAACAAGAAATGGACTTGAGTTTGATGCCCCGTCGAGGAATGGCGTACGAGAGAGGTGTGATGATTATTGCAAACCCATACACAGAAGACGCTCTCAAGAAGTACAACAGTATGGAACTACTGATGCCTAAAACAGGGGAGGTTATCCATATCTGCAAACTGCCACAGAGTCTATATACACCAGGTGAGCAGTATATAACAACACTGAATACTGTAACACTTTGAAGACGCCATATTGGAATTGGAATTTTGATAAGTAGCAGTTGACAGGAAGATCATGTAAAGCTCTAACAACTGAATGAGGATTCAGACGGACACATTGCAATGGCTTCTAACCTCATTATCACATGCCTATTTCTTTGTTTCCAAAACTCCACTGTGCATTGTCAGAGGGCTCAGTACATCTTGGTCCTTGCATGTATGCAATGTGTTTGACATTTGTTTTGAAATATAACAATTTTGAATCATGTTGAGTGAAATGTTACCTCTACATGATTGCATAGATTTACTGGAAACAAATTTGTAAAATAGACCAACATGCATAGCACTTGTCAGGTTTCAAACTTGATATTTTAATTGACAATTGTTTGAAACAACTGAATGTGTAGAATGCTGCTACGATCTCATTAATCAAGAGAACAGATATTTGTTAAGTAATACTTGTATGTTGACTCTATTTGACTGAATGTGTGGAGTTTTTCTTCCCCAGTGCTTCCTCTTGTTTGTCAGTAGAGTCAGCATGTTGAGTTGCTTGTGTTCAACAAACTGTTGTAAACCTCTTCACATTGTTCATGGTGCCAACGTATGTCTTTGTTTAGTAAATTGCTAATAAAGTTACCATGGTTACAGGATGTGCTATATCAGGAGACAATCAGATCTTCCTGGCGGGCGGGGCTATCAGGAAGATCAACTACCGTGGATCGATCACAACGGAGGGTGTTTCCAACAACCTGTACATGTTCGACCAGATTGAGGGGGCGTGGTTGACCAAGGCCAAGATGCACATGTCTCGGTCCCAGTTCTCTCTCACCGTCGTTGATGGGTGCGTTTATAGCCACCCGTACACAACTCACTGGACAAACAATATTCAGTTTTATTTACTGTAGAATTGTGCAACCAACACTCCTTTCAACCACGTAAATACATATACTGCTGTTTTGTAAGATGAAAAATAGAAGGGTATTTTTTACAACATATCAGCATCAGCGTTCCTGGACTGTAGGGGAGCATCAGCACGTGTACCAGATCAGCGTTCCTGGACTGTAGGGGAGCCAAGATGTTACAGTGTTCACCACTGAACTTCCTGCTTTCATTTCCACATGTGTGAGGCCGATTGTTTTGTCCTAATATGGGGCTGTATAGTGGAAGCAAGGTGAACAAACACTTGCTCTGACAGATAATTTCCTGTACGTTTTCAGAAAATATTTGTAAAAACTCTCAAGTTATCAATTCAAATTTTAGGTTTCATCTAATGGCTTATACACTGATATTTAGTGATAACTGGACACTTAGAATGGATGTATTTTTTATCTCAGTTTTGTTTTACTGCATTGATCGCAATGTTATAATACTTTGAATTTATGAAACTTACCGACTTTCGGACAAAATTCATTATTTTGAACGGAAAAGTCGTTTTTGTTCGAATTTTGTCTGCGGAGGATCCTTTGTTTGATAACCACACTTGTGGCTCATTGTTTCAGGTTTGCGTTTGCTGTTGGAGGACAGGATGGTGCGGAGATACTGAGCAGCGTGGAGCGATACGACCCCCACACCAACACGTGGATGTTGGTGGCGCCGCTTCCCCAGCCTCTTCGCTTCACGACATCACTCAGCTACCGCGGCAAGCTGTATGTGTTCGGTGGAGAAAACACCTCCGAGATCAGCAGCAGTGCTTACAGGTAACTGTTTATAGCATTGTTGTCTTGCACGTTTCTATGGGTACAGTGTGTGAAGCCAATTTCTGATGTCCCGCGCCATGATATTGCTTGAAAATTGCTAAAAGTTGCATAAAACCATACTCACTCGGTCACTCCAATTGTACTTGACTAATTCACTGAATGGGTTTTCATTCATACTGATATCAGTGTTCTTTCTTTGGTTGTAAAAGTCAGCTGCCTGACTCACTCAGTCACTGCAGCTTCCACCGTTGTGCTGGCCATTAGCTGTGTGACTAGTACGCTTCCACCGTTGTGCTGGCCATTAGCTGTGTGACTAGTACGCTTCCACCTTTGTGCTGGCCATTAGCTGTGTGACTAGTACGCTTCCACCGTTGTGCTGGCCATTAGCTGTGTGACTAGTCTCCCACCGTTGTGCTGGCCATTAGCTGTGTGACTAGTACGCTTCCACCGTTGTGCTGGCCATTAGCTGTGTGACTAGTACGCTTCCACCGTTGTGCTGACTATTAGCTGTCTGACTAGTACGCTTCCACCGTTGTGCTGACTATTAGCTGTCTGACTAGTACGCTTCCACCGTTGTGCTGGCCATTAGCTGTGTGACTAGTACGCTTCCACCGTTGTGCTGGCCATTAGCTGTGTGACTAGTACGCTTCCACCGTTGTGCTGGCCATTAGCTGTGTGACTAATGCACGCTTCCACCGTTTGTGCTTGCCATTAGCTGTGTGACTAGTGCGGCTTCCACCGTTGTGCTGGCCATTAGCTGTGTGACTAGTCACGCTTCCACCGTTGTGCTGGCCATTAGCTGTGTGACTAGTAATGCGCTTCCACCGTTGTGCTGGCCATTAGCTGTGTGTGACTAATGCGCTTCCACCGTTGTGCTGGCCATTAGCTGTGTGACTAGTACGCTTCCACCGTTGTGCTGGCCATTAGCTGTGTGACTAGTACGCTTCCACCGTTGTGCTGGCCATTAGCTGTGTGACTAGTACGCTTCCACCTTTGTGCTGGCCATTAGCTGTGTGACTAGTACGCTTCCACCGTTGTGCTGGCCATTAGCTGTGTGACTAGTCTCCCACCGTTGTGCTGGCCATTAGCTGTGTGACTAGTACGCTTCCACCGTTGTGCTGACTATTAGCTGTCTGACTAGTACGCTTCCACCGTTGTGCTGACTATTAGCTGTCTGACTAGTACGCTTCCACCGTTGTGCTGGCCATTAGCTGTGTGACTAGAAATGCGCTTCCACCGTTGTGCTGGCCATTAGCTGTGTGTGACTAATGCGCTTCCACCGTTGTGCTGGCCATTAGCTGTGTGACTGAAATGCGCTTCCACCGTTGTGCTGGCCATTAGCTGTGTGACTAGTACGGTTCCACCGTTGTGCTGGCCATTAGCTGTGTGACTAGTACGCTTCCACCGTTGTGCTGGCCATTAGCTGTGTGACTAGTACGCTTCCACCGTTGTGCTGGCCATTAGCTGTGTGACTAGTACGCTTCCACCGTTGTGCTGGCCATTAGCTGTGTGACTAGTACGCTTCCACCGTTGTGCTGGCCATTAGCTGTGTGACTAGTACGCTTCCACCGTTGTGCTGGCCATTAGCTGTGTGACTAGTACGCTTCCACCGTTGTGCTGGCCATTAGCTGTGTGACTAGTACGCTTCCACCGTTATTGTGCTGGCCATTAGCTGTCTGACTAATGCGCTTCCACCGTTGTGCTGGCCATTAGCTGTGTGACTAATGCACGCTTCCACCGTTGTGCTGGCCATAAGCTGTCTGACTAGTACGCTTCCACCGTTGTGCTGGCCATAAGCTGTCTGACTAGTACGCTTCCACCGTTGTGCTGGCCATAAGCTGTCTGACTAGTACGCTTCCACCGTTGTGCTGGCCATTAGCTGTCTGACTAATGCACGCTTCCACCGTTGTGCTGGCCATTAGCTGTGTGACTAATACGCTTCCACCGTTGTGCTGGCCATTAGCTGTGTGACTAATACGCTTCCCACCGTTGTGCTGGCCATTAGCTGTGTGACTAGTACGCTTCCACCGTTGTGCTGGCCATTAGCTGTGTGTGACTAATGCGCTTCCACCGTTGTGCTGACTATTAGCTGTCTGACTATGCGGCTTCCCACCGTTGTGCTGACTATTAGCTGTGTGACTATGTACGCTTCCCACCGTTGTGCTGGCCATTAGCTGTGTGACTAGTACGGTTCCACCGTTGTGCTGGCCATTAGCAGTGTGACTAGTACGCTTCCACCGTTGTGCTGGCCATTAGCTGTGTGACTAGTCACGCTTCCACCGTTGTGCTGGCCATTAGCTGTGTGACTAGTATGCTTCCACCGTTGTGCTGGCCATTAGCTGTGTGACTAGAAATGCGCTTCCACCGTTGTGCTGGCCATTAGCTGTGTGACTAGTACGCGCTTCCACCGTTGTGCTGGCCATTAGCTGTGTGACTAGTACGCCCACCACCGTTGTGCTGACTATTAGCTGTGTGACTAGTACGCTTCCACCGTTGTGCTGGCCATTAGCTGTGTGACTAGTACGCTTCCACCGTTGTGCTGGCCATTAGCTGTGAGACTAGTACGCTTCCACCGTTGTGCTGGCCATTAGCTGTGTGACTAGTACGCTTCCACCGTTGTGCTGGCCATTAGCTGTGTGACTAGTACGCTTCCACCGTTGTGCTGGCCATTAGCTGTGTGACTAGTACGCTTCCACCGTTGTGCTGACTATTAGCTGTCTGACTAGTACCCAACAAAAGTGCTAGAATCTATACTTTACTGAGAAAGTGTAATCCCAAATATGACTTCTTACATTTGACCACTCAGGGGTGGAAATAACTTTAAAATTGCTAGTGTACTCCGGTACAGTGGCACATGTAAAATCACTTGCCCTGATAATTTTTCCACTATACCGGCCGTTTTCTTGTTGATATTTTAAATAAACAACATAATTAATATTGGAAAGTCAACTGGACACCGGTACAGTGTGATATACAAATTTTGGACTCGGGCGTCGGGCAATGGGTTATTTCCACCCCTGCCACTTTCTAAATGGCATTGTGTATACATTTACTGTCCTGTTTTCAGATACGATCCGGCAGAGGACTTGTGGGTAGAGTTACCTCCCATGAAGAAGCCCCGCGTGCTGGCTGGCAGCGTGGTTTACAAGGAGAAGATATACATCATCGGTGAGTGGACGGCTGTTGGTCATGTGTTGTTGATGTTGTGTGTATATTGTTGAGATGACGTTCAATTTTAACTCACTCACTCACTCATGTTGGCTGTTGATGTTAAAAGTATATGTTGATACCTATTGACAAGTGGATGGTGAGAGTCTGTGGGTTGATGTTGATGTTTAGATTCCATCTCCGAGTTAGATAGCAATTTTGAAAAGTTAGTTATGATGTTTGAAGTTGATGTGGAGAGCTGATGTCGAAGATGATAGTCGATGCTGACGTTGATGTTGATAGGCCAGTATGATGTTGGAAGTTGATGTTGATGGTCAGTACTGATGTTTATAGTCAGAGTTGAGAGTCTGTTTATGGTGCGAGTTGATGTTGAAATTTCAATAACTTGTCAACCTTTAGAACCTGTTCTTTGATGTTATTGTTTAGAGTTGATGTCGAGGGTTGTTGTTGACAATGATATGTGTTTCCTCTCTTCAGGGGGCAACTCGTGTATCAGTGACAAGTGGCGGAAGGAGTACCTACCAGAACACTGCGTCAGTTCCGTGGAGATCTTGGACCCAGCAGATGAGACGTGGAGCCGGGGGCCAGAGCTTCCCAATGCTCTGTGCGGAGCTGGTGAGGATTGAACTGACAGTTCTGACAAATGTGTTTCCTGAATATTTATGAGGTTCCAGGGTGGCGTAATCATTAGTGGTTCAGATAATGTCTGAACGGAGTTGTCTTACTTGGACATGTCAGGATCTTGTGATTGTGCATTGTGTAAAACCTGCTCCATTTCTGCCTACTTTTGATGACTCGTGACTAAATCACTGGTGGTGACATCATGCTTCCAGTTAAACAGTACTTTTAATTACACTGCAATATTATATTATTGTGTGATTCACTTCCTTAAACTTTGAATATCTGTCAATGTAGGTGGAGTACATTATTTAATTACATTATTGTGTGATTCACTTCCTTAAACTTTGAATATCTGTCAATGTAGGTGGAGCACATTATTTAATTACATTATTGTGTGATTCACTTCCTTAAACTTTGAATATCTGTCAATGTAGGTGGAGCACATTATTTAATTACATACCATATAAGTGAAACAACCATGAACCCGTATTCTTGGGCAAATGTTTTAAAATATTTTTGATGTGGGTTGATAAGTACCCCGGTGGTTAACATGGTCATAGAAAACTTGGGTTTATTTCTTAACCTCGGTTCAATGTATGTCTCTGGCTGTCATATGGATCAAAATGTTGTTAAAAGCAGTATAAAACAAAACTCACGCATTATTTATTAGTTTCTTGTCTCTGACATAACCCTATCTTGGTAGCGTTCTCTAACACTCTCCCCCATTCCTCTCCTCCAGGTATCGTGAAGTACAGCAACACCATCCTGATTGTGGGGGGTGAGGACGACAAGAGCTGGATGGCAGGGCTGTGTTGGCTGAAGGAGGACCGGGGCAAGGAGTCCTGGGTGGAGGGGCAGGAGCTCCCCACCGTCATGAGCACCTTCGGCTGCGTCGTCGCCAACATCCCTCACGAAGTTCTCAAGCAACAATGACACATCATCATCACCATGCACACTCCAGCACCGACAAGACGTGCAGTCAGTGCAGTCAGGAGACGTGCAGTCAGTAGACGTGCAGTCAGTAGACGTGCAGTCAGTAGATTCTGAACAGATAGTAGGCTCCTTGCAAATAAAATGCTTTAAAAACTGCTGACACAGCCCTTGTCAAACAGACACAATAAAACTGTATGTGAAGTCACAGTGAAGGGGCAGATTTTGTCCAGACAGTGCTAGTGATAAAAGACATCAGTGTTTGAGTGGTGCTACAGTGACATGGAGTTGTCAAGGACATTCATAATGAAGGCAAGGTCTTGGAGCAGACGCGGATGCAAACACAGTTCGCCATGACAACCGTCTGTATGATGAAATGAGTTACAGATGTGTAGTGATGTGCTGTACTGTTGATGAGGACATTCACAACGAAGGTGAAGTCCTGAAGCAGACACTGTTTACAAACGAAGTGTGACATGACAAACCTCCTGTATGTTATATGTAACCTATTATGAGTTACAAACATGACATGGTCACAACTGACAAGAAGGTGACAAACAGATTACATGACTGTGAGACTTGTGATCCCAAGTGATGCCAACAAGTGATGACACCCTTCTAACTGAGCACAGAGGAGCATGAGTTCCAAGTGTACACATCCTCCCTCACTGAATGACTGCTTTAGTTGGAGATTCCGTTATTGAAGGTTCATGCAATGTTGTGATGATGGAAGAGTCCAGGAAGGATGGGAGACTTTGTGGTTGTCACGGTTACATATCGGAGCAGTGCAACTGATACATTTTGTGACCCTGTGAAAATAGGAATTTCTATACATGCTCAGAAGTCTGGATGATTGTCCAAATGTTCAAATTATCAAGGGCAGTGTACTCGTTTGGAGGAGTGCCACCAAGGGCATCGTCAATTTCAGTGTCACCACCGGGGAGAGTGTCACTGTCATATTACTCGTGCTTGTGCATAACCTCAGGCTTGCCCCGTACAAGCGGACGCACCAGGATATGCTTGGAATTCAGTCCCATATCAGTCAGTGATTGTCATCAATACAGGTACGATGATGGCTTTATCTGAGGAGACGTCGTAATGTCTTCATCATCTAGGAATCAGCCATCATTGTGCACAGATACTAACATATACAGCATTATGGTTACCGTGGCTACAGCTTCAGTAGCTAATGACGAGAACAGCTTCACGGCTATTGACGAGTGGTAAGGTCAGAGTGTATTACTGTATATCTGTATATCTGTGTTACTATGCTATGTTAATTTGGCAGAGATCTGATATCATTCTTCATTGTTGATTATGTGTGGTGTGACAGCGTAAACCCCAGACACCAAGGGAGATAACTCCAGTGTTTTGCTTAATGCTTTACAAGGGTACAGTCAGGTGTCTGTGAGTCTGCTACATTGTGTTATATGCAAGAGCTGGATGGTTACCAACAGCTGTGATTGTGTATCACAGACAGTATTATTTATCGTGTTGATGCAGATCACAGAATATGATCCTATATTTTGCTTTATGCCAAGTTGTTTGTTTTCAGCTCTACATACGGTTCCAGTGTCTTTCAGTCAACAGTGTGGTAATATTATACATATCATTTGTACACCGGGCTTAAATAGCCAGTTGATATTCAAAACTAGATATATTATGCATCTAGTCAATGTTTTCTAGGCATTTCACAATGGCTGAGTATTGCATTGCCTTCTAATTTCCACTATTTCTGATATCGGCACCCATGTCAGCAAGACTTCATCAAAGTCGGAGGAACCTTACCAGGTTTGCTCACAAGTGTTCATGTTTTCCTTTAAAAATTCACCTTTAATTCATCACATTTCTTCTTCCATTTCGGGGGGGGCGGTTGGGTAGCCTAGTGGTTAAAGCGTTTGCTCGTCACGCCGAAGGCACGGATTCGATTCCTCACATGAGTAAAAAGTGTTAAACCCATATCTGGTGTCTCCTGCAGCGATATTGCTTGAATTGCTAAAACCGGCCTAAAACAATACTCAGTCACTCATTAATTGCTATCGGCATTATTGAGACTTTTGTTTGTAATGTGGAAAGCAGATATAACAGAGTTATGAATCTCATTCTACATATGAAGTGTGTGGATTGTGTGGATTGTGTGGATTGTTTGGATATTGACATGAATGTGTTCATTGGTAAACAAGTGCTTGGAAGAAGCCTTGAACTATTGGACTGCGAATTTGATATCAGTTTGTCTGTTTTACAAATAGTCAGTTATTCCAGTCAGGAAGCATTAGAAATTATTTGTTTAAATTCAAATATTAGAAAACCAGAAGGTTCTTGTGATAGACCATATGTTACAGATGTAGGGTTCCCTTTATGTATATAGAAGCAGTCTCACAGCATCTAGTGAATCAGCTCGATATCCTCCCAAAACTTCCACATCCCTAAACTTCCACAGCTTATAACATTTCTGGTTGACTGCACACACTTGCATACTGATAACCCCTGTCTGTAACGGTTTAACCCATTAATCAGCAGTGAATACAAACAATCACTTAGTAATAAATCATATAATTTTTCCTTATCCTGACTCATGCTCTTTTGCTTGTCTTCTTCTTCTTGCGAACATAGTGGAACACTTGTATCTCCTTATTTGAAGCTCCCTTCAAAATAAAATCACTAATTGGTACTCACCACGAGTTGCTCCCCTTTGTCTCCCCTGGCGGGAAAAGGTGTCGCCACCCTCTGGCCATGTGCTTCACTCTCTCCTTCTTCGCCCAGTGAGCAGGATGTGAGAGCGCCTTGTGTCTCCTTACACACATATCCTTTGATAATCTCTTAGTTTTTACCTCTCATAGGTTACTATAGAGGTATAGCTAGTATCCTTTACTATTTGTATTGATTAATTATCGTATTTCTACTGTTTATTCACGTGTATTCGTGATTGTTCAGCTAGCTTTACGTTCATGAAAATCTGTACGATTTGTAGATTACGTTTTTCTGCCTCCGATCCACATGTAATATGCCCTAGTTGTTCTACGCCGTGTGCGTTTAATTCACGTTGCAGTTACTGCATTAATTTATCTCATTCTGCATTTAATAAATATCATCTTTGCGTCTTAAGACGTGCTGCAGATAGATCACGCAAACAAGGGCAAAACATGGCAGAGAGTCCAGATATTCCTTCCAGTCAGCTGCTAGCGATCGACCATCTCCCGTCTGGTGTTCTGCTAGAGACCCCTGCGGCAGAGGAGCGTGGGGCGCCAGTCCGTTACCTCGAAGAAAGCGACCGGCCTCCCCAGACATCCCGTCATTGCAGACTAAGTCTAAGAGGGCCTCATCGTCGTCTCAACGCAGATTGAGGACACCCAGGGCAGCGCAGACTTCCAAAGGGAAATCTACGAAGACAGCAAGAACTTTCTCAGCGAGATCGTTCCAGCAGCAGAGTTGGGCCTCTACGATGATCAGCCGATAATCATCCCGACTTACGGCAGAAGCGACCCGGTGTCAGCGACTGTGACTTCTGCAGAGATCTCCATGCAGCCTGATGCCTCTACACCCGGCGTCAGGCGTCATTGATGTGAACCCCATCGCAGAAAAGCGCCCGGCGACTTCGTCACAGATCATCCCAGAAGACATGATGCGGCAGATTATGAACATCATGGAGGACCACTACAAACTGCGCAAGCAGGGTCCGAGCCAGCGAAGGCTCCAGCGTGAACAGCACCCCAGAGGCACCCCGTCAGCGTAGCAGCCAAGGCGATGTCACCTTCGCGAAGGAAGTCCCGCACCACCTTGGCGAAGGACCTAGATGTACAGCCCGAAGGCCAGCGAAGGCCGCGGGCGGAGAGATCATCACCATCTTCGATTTCATCTCTAGATATGGACTCAGACCATCAGACATCACGGAAGCCTTGGCGAAGGTCATATCATCGATCCCCGGACGGACGCCAAATGAAGCTTCAGCGAAGGCATTCGCGAAGGACATATGATTCAGATCTTCATCGTCTAGAAGAACATCGAGGGACTGCCGAAGAGCTTCCGCGAAGCTATCAACATTCACCTCACAAGTCTCGAAGATCATCCCATAGGCGATCTCCACTCCGTTCATCACCAGGTCGATCACCCATCAGATCTCCACATAGAGCGGCGCACAAGTCAACTAGATCGCCACAAACCTCATCAGATATACAGACAGCTACGCGGTCGAAGAGCATCTACAATTTATTAATGATGATGGTTTTGAGGATGATGGAGGAATCATATTTTCTGATGCAGAGATCACGGTATTGGATGGTCAATAACCTAGATCTCACATCACCATCTAAAAGTGGCAATACAGCTCAGGCGTATTTGATGAAGGAAGATGATCCAGATGCAATCACTCTACCCCGATCGACCCGATTGCGGCAGTGCCACAGAATCTAGATGCAGCTTTCCAGAAAGCTACGAAAGTTCAGATACCACATCTGCCCAACTTTCAAGCCAAGAAGTTCTCCGCATAACATGGACTCCTTCTACAAGGCCCAGGACATCGATGAGAACTATAAGATCATCAGCGATGTAAAGAACAAGATTTACAAGATGGATGATGCGCAAGTTGGCTCATATAGAAACCATGGCCGAGGCGTATGTTCTTTGGGTTAAATAGATCTAGGGACGATCAATGAGACTCTTATTACTAGATTCGGGATTCCACGACGGAAGATGATAGAATGATTTATTCTGCCTTACTTATGCAAAGAAAGATCAGCAGTTTTAGCGGATCATCTTACATCTGTTTCAGCAGCACTGACCTTAGCTTCGTCGTCAAGGCCTCCTCGCCTCCTGTAATTGGGGAGAACTTTACAGCCCCACTTTATACAGCCCGTGGTCGACAACATCCATCTTTGACGGAGAAATCGACAAGGTAAGCCAAGGAAGTCTCTAAGGATTCCAGGGAAGTCCTTATGATTAGATCGATGGACACACTAGCCAGCGTCATTCGTCAGACTTCACAAAGATACTCAGGCAGATCTAAGTTCACGGGCCTACAAAGAGCAAGAGACAGGAAGATAGCCAGCTCTAGAGGTAAAGATTCTTTTAAGGTAAGCCCATATGGCAACTATAGAGGAGGATCAGGAAGAGGCAGGACACCCAGAGGTTCCGCAATTATAGGCAGCTGAAACACAGGTTCGGAGCGACTGGAGTCTTCCACCCCAGCCGTTCCAGTACAACCAGCTCAAGTGGGTGGGCGCCTCCAACTACACTGGGAAAACTGGGGAATACTGCAAGATCCTTACGTCTCCAACATTATTCAACACGGAGTTTGGTATCCCTCTACAGGCCAAGCCTCCGCTGACAATCAAACCCCCAAGTTCGATTTACAAGCAACAACTACCAAAGATAAAAGAGGCTGTTTCATCACTCCTATCCAAACAGGCCATAGAAGTAATAGATCAAGCAAGCGTCGAACCAGGTTTCTACTCCCCAGTTTTCCTAGTTCCCAAGAAAAACTCCACGGAGAAATACAGACTCATCTACAACATGAGCTTTTCAACAAGAACTATCATGAAACCACCCGAAGTTTAGCATGATACATTTACCTCAGTTACGCCAGATGATTAGATCCTATGGACTACATGGGCAGCATAGATCTACAGGATGCCTACTTGCACATCCCCATTCATCCCGATTCCAGGAAATACCTACGATTTACTCTAGAAGGGCTACATTACCAGTGGAAAGTACTCCCATTGAATATCATCAGCCCCTGGCTATTCACGAGGATAGCGAAACCGATTATCAAATTTCTACATCGTCAAGGGCTCGCGCGGTGCGTTTTACCTCGACGACGGGATACAAGTAGATCAAGATCCACTGCGTCTCAAACTACAGTTAAATTACATCATAAAGCTACTAACACAACTAGGTTGGTTAGTAAACTTACGCAAGTCGGACCTAGTACCATCGCCAAGACCTACAGTTCCTAGGTATTCGATTCATCACAAATCATAACCGTATTATGGTACCAGAAGACCGTTGGCTCAAGATACAACAGACCATTCCACCAGCTCTACTCTCTCCGTTACCACTGCGACAATGGCAGAGCCTACTAGGTCTTCTCACATCAGCCCAAGACATGACTGTCACAGGCAGATTACAGTTCACGTCCCCTACAGGTCCTCATCAGCGCACATCTCAGCGATGTACAACCATTCAGTCTACGAAACATCTCAGACCACATCTACTATGGTGGACCAAGAAATCGAATGTCTGCGAAGGGATTTGTTTAGCAGAGCAGGAATACAAAACCCATCTGTATGTAGGCAGCGTCACTCCAAGGTTGGGGAGCTCATCTCACCAACCACCACGATATCAGGGTTATGGAATCAGCAAGAATGCAAACTCCATATAAACAGTCTAGAAATGAAAGCTGTAATCAGCGCCATTCTACATTGGAGCACATTTCTACAAAATGCGGCCCTAATGATCCATACAGACAATTCGACAGTGGCGTTCTACATAAACAAGCAAGGCTCAGCGAGATCGATGAACCTTTTGAACCTAAGCTTTCAACTGTTCGATTTAATACAAGATCTAAATCTACATGTCAGAGCAGTGCACATTCCGGAGCCAGAAATATACTAGCAGGCGGCTCTCTCTCGGCCTCATCTACCATCACCGACAGAGTGGATGATCAACAGGAAATTTTTGCACAGATAATCAAGCAATTAGGGGCGCGCTAATAGACCTATTAAGCCCGCAGCGATTCAACAATCAGCTACCGACATTACGTGTCACCAGTCCCAGACCCCAAGCTTGGGCAGCGGGCGGCTCTAAGTCTATCATGGGAAGGCCTCAATGCGTGCAGCGTTTCGCCGCCAGCAATAATAC